TGTCTTTGTGTGTGTTCTGGGGCTTGAACTCAGGACCTCATGCTATTCAAGGCTAGCAATCTACCACTTGAGCTATAGCTCAACTTCTGGGTTATTTGGTGGTTAGTTGGAGATAAGAGTCTCCCAGATTTGTCTGTCTGGGCTGGCTTTGAACCAAGATCCTCAGACCTCAGCCTCTTAAATGGCTAGGATGGCATGCATGAGCCACTGATGGCAAGCAATTATCCCCATTTTAAAATGAATAAACTAGCTGGGCGCCGGTGGCTCACGCCTGTAATCCTAGCTACTCTGGAGGCTGAGATCTGAGGATCATGATTCAAAGCCAGCCCGGGCAGGAAAGTCCATGAGACTCTTTTTAAAGTCCTTTTATGTAGTGTTTACACACACAGCAAAAAATGTACAGAGTCCTCAATGTTCAGGCAATCAACACTGAGAATAGCTTCAAGAGAAAATGGATTTCTTTGCCCTTCCCCCAGTAAAACAGTACTGCTGTTTATGTTCCTGGAAATGACGCATTTAATCACATCACTTTTTGGAAGAACAACCCCTTTGAAATCCTAAAAACTCTGCAGAGAGTGAAGAGATATTAGCATAGAACCTTCTTGAAAACACAGGGCCTCATGACAGGGGTGTAGTGCAAGAGACACATGAAATGGCGGCTCTTCAGAGGCACATGTGCACTGGCAGAGGACTGCAGGGAGAGCCTGCAGGTTCTGCTGGGCAGCCTTAGCTTCGCAGTGTGGCCAGCCGGGACTGCATGGCCTCCAGGGCCTCTTCCTCCTCTTCGGCAGCTGTTGCTCCTGCAGGTTCAGGCTCAGGAAGAGCACCTGTCACTTTACTGGGCACTTTGCCCAAGGACCCTGCAGCAATTTCAAACAAGATTTTGTCAATTTCCATTTCTGCTTCTTCTTCCATTTCTTCCTGATCTTCCATGCTTTCAAAGGTGTCCTCTAACAGCTCTTCTATGATGCCAGCCTTCACCATCACTTTGGACAGCTCCCTCATGGTGGCCTGTATCTCAGGAATCTTCACAAGACTTTGCATGGCCTTCATCACTTCGGTGCTCTTCTGCAAGGAGCCAGCCACTCACAGGACCGCCATGAGCACAGAATTCATGTGCCCTCTGGATGCATACAGCTTGTTCACAGGCTTCCTAGACCTGATCCTCTCCTTGGCCAGAACCACACAGACATCCTTCTGGCCCTTCTTGACAGCATCTTTCACAGACAGCTTCACTTTTTCTTCTTCTCTTTTAATGTCTCTTACTTGCTGATTGATAACTCTCATTTCCTTTCTTATCTTCAATGACCATTCATTAACCAGCTCTTTGGGGGGCTTCCCTTGTGTTTTTCCACACAGCCCCTGACAAACTCCCCCATGAGACTCTTATCTCCAATAAACCACTAGAAAACTGGAAGTGGCGCTGTGGCTCAAGTAGTAGAGCACTCGCCTTGAGCTGAAGTACGCAGGGCCAGCGCCCAAGCCCAGAGTTCAAGCCCCACGACCGATCAAAAAAAAAAAAAAGTGAGCTTTTGATGTCCAAAGTAATTTCCCATTAACACACTATAATAAATGGTAAAACAATGTTTTAAATGGCTGCAAAGTTCATGCCCTTAATCACTGTTTTATTAATCCTCAAATATACATGAGTTCCTGCAAAATAACTATGGTAAGTGTGGTTGGTGCTTGTGTGGTTTTTGTTGTTGTTGTTTTGTGTGCCTGTCCTGGGGCTTAAAACTCAGGTCCTGGGCACTGTCCCTGAACTTCTTTTGCTCAAGTCTAGGACTCTACCACTTGAGCCACAGCACTACTTCTATTTTTTTCCGAGTAGTTTATTGGAGATGAATTTCATGGAGGGCTGAGAAGGTGGCTTGGTGGTAGAGTGCTTGCCTCACATGCATGAGGCCCCTGGGTTCGATTCCTCAGCACCACATAAACAGAAAAAGCCGGAAGTGGCGCTGTGGCTCCAGTGGTAGAGCACTAGCCTTGAGCTGAAGAGCTGAGGGACAGCACCCAGGCCCAGAGTTCAGGCCCCATGACCGGCCAAAAAAAAAAAAAAAGATTTCTCACTACCTATCAGCCATGCCCTTTCAAAAGAGAACTCAAAACTCCTGCCATATATTCCTAGCACTTTGTACTTTTTCACTATAGCATTTACATCTATAATTGTTATGTGTTTACATCTATAAGTGTTTTGATTAAGCCCATTTCTTTCACTACATTCAATAAGGTCAGGTCTTTGTCTTTTCTGTATAATATCTTTTTGTATAATATCTGGCAAATTGTAGGAGATCAATAATTAATACAGGAAAGAATGATTTAAAAAAAAAAGTTTAAGCCTACTTTAACAAGAGTAGAAACTGGATGTACTCTCCTAAGATTCTTCAAGATAGTTTCTGACAGATTTGTCACAGACAGTGCAACGGCCCATGATGTATATCCCTTCAGCTTAAGGATGTCATAGGCACTGCAGATAAAGAAGGAAATCAAATTTATGAACCCAAATTGATTCACTAGAATCAACTCAGAGAAAGCATAATATTCTTTAAGAATTCATTCTGAAACAATCTAAATACCAATGGCACTATAATAACATTTTCCAGATTTCTACTAGAGATTACTTATGAATTTTTGTGTTATGTTCAAATACACTATCATAAATTGTCATTCGCTTTAAACAAGAATCAGTTCACCCTTTTATTATAAAAACAGAATACAAAGGCCTACATGCCAATAAAGTTAGTTTTAATATTTTTATATTTTGTTTAAATACCCAAAGTGGGAAGTGGAGCTGTGGCTCAAGTGGCAGAGTACAGCTTTGAGTGAAAAAGTCCAAGGACAACACCCAGGCCCTTAGTTCAAGCCTTAGAACTAATCTAAATATCCAAACAGACCCTGATTCCTGAAAGTTACTGTATACATCTCTCTCTTTGATCATTTAGAAATATTACTGGCATGGCAATGAAACTTTATATAGTTGTAAGGATGTATACGTTTTCCCTAAGAATATATCATCAAACCAATAACAAACATGTAATGGGAAATTTTCGTAGTACATTTTCAAAGAAATTCTTTCAAAAACTGCACTTTCTTATCCTATAATAATTTTCTTACAAAATTATAGGAACTTTAGAACTGCATCAATCCATCATGATAATAATTACTTGAGGGGCTGGGAAGGTGGCTCAGTGGTAGAGCGCTTGCCTTCCATGCTCGAGGCCCTGGGTTCGATTCCTCAGCACCACATAAGCAAAAAAAAAAAGATAAAAAGCCAGAAGTGGTGCTGTGGCTCAAGTGGTAGAGCGCTAGCCTTGAGCTGAAGAGCTGAGGGACAGCGCCCAGGCCCAGAGTTCAAGCCCCATGACCAACTAAAAAAAAAAAAGAGTTTGATGGACTTTCTTGCCTGGACTGGCTTTGAACCACAATCTTCAGATCTCAGCCTCCTGAGTAGGCAGGATTACAGACATGAGCCACCAGTGGCCAGCAGGTATGTTTTTAAAGCTCCAAAGTAATGGTTTGCGTAAGCCATCTGAATGTAGAGGGTGTTCGTAGCCTACAGTTACTTATCTTATAAAAAGGAAAGATCAATTACAGACTTTTAACCTGGAAATTTTATTCTTTTTTTTTTTTTGCCTTTTTTTTAGTTGGTCATGGGGCTTGAACTCTGGGCCTAGGCACTGTCCCTCAGCTCTTTAGCTCAAGGCAACTGCTCTACCCCATGATGCACAGCACCACTTCTGGTTTTCTGGTGGTTAATTGGAGATAAGAGTGTCATGAACTTTCCTGCCCAGGCAGGAAAGATCACAGCCTCCTGAGTAGCAAGGATTACAGGCGTGAGCCACCGACACCCAGGTATAACCTGGAAGTTTTATTCTTAATACTGATTATAAGGCATTAAAAATGAATACTGTTACCTATTAATCACTTGTTTATGGACTGTTTTCCACTGTTCCTTGTCTGAGTCAGATCCTATTTCAGGGTTCAGACACTTTAGAGGAAAACCAGCAACATTCACTCCACTCCATAAGGGCACTAAGAAATAAAAATTAAAAAAAACATGCATCTCAAAATGAAGTTTTCTTGATAATATTTCATCTGTTGATTAAGTGCACTACTGTTTTTCTGTTTGCTTGGTTGGTTGTTTCACTTGTTTTGTTTTGTATTCCTTTAAACAGCCACAACCTTGTCATCTTCCCACCTCTCCCTTCTGAGTGCTCCCTTCTGAGAGCATATGACCACACACCCTGCTTGTTTATTTTTAAATTGTTACTACAATATCTAAAAGAAAGTTTTAAATAAACATAAAAAAGAATTACAAGAAATAACAATATGAAGTGTCAGAGCCAGGCAACAATATCTCACACCTGTAATCCTAGCTACTCAGGAGGCTGAGATCTGAGGATCGCAGATCAAAGCCAGCCTGGGCAGGAAAGTCCTTGAGACTCTTAACTCCAACTAACCACCAGAAAACCAGAAGTAATGCTGTGACTCAAGTGATAGAGCGATCGCCTTGGGCTGAAGAGCTGAGGGACAGTACCCAGGTCCAGAGTTCAAGCCTCAGGACTGACCAAAAAAAAAAAAGTGTTAGAAAACATGTAGTCATATTTATTTATGACTATGTGGTAAATGGACAAAAATTTGAGCATAAAGTAGTTATCAAAAGATATCACCAGACACTGGTGGCTCATGCTTATAATCCTAGCTACTCAGGAGCTGAGATCTGAGGATCAAGGTTTGAAGCCAGCAGGGGCAGGAAAGTCCAATGAGACTATTTTCAATAAGCTACTCAGAAAAAGCTGGAAGTGATGCTGTGGTTCAAGTGGTAGAGCACTAGCCTTGTGCTGAAGAGCTCAGGGACAGCACCCAGGCCCAGAGTTCAAGACCCACAACCGAAAATAAATAAATAAATAAAAGAAGGAGGATAAGGAGGAGGAGATGTAAATGGCCAAGTATAGGAAAATGTGTTCACATAACTGATCAGAAAATATGTTCACATCACAATTAGACAGCCTCTCTCCATACTCAAAATTGTTATTATCACAAAGATAAGAAATAAGCTAGGCACAGATGCTCATGTCTATAACCCTAGGTACTCGGGAGACTGAGATCTGAAGATAACAGTCCAAAACCAGCCTTGGTAGAAAAGTCCACCAGACTCTATTTCTAATTAGCTAGCAAAAGAACTGGATTGGAGGTATGCCTCAAGTAGTAAAGCACCAACCATGATCAGACAAAACTAAGCAAGAAGCCCTGAGTTCAAGTCCTAGTATTGTCAATAAAAAAGAGATAAATGAAAAGTACTGGCAAGCCTATGAAGAAAAAGGAAATCATGCCTTGATGGTGGAAAGGTAAACTAGTCCTGCTATTATGGAAAATTTGGCACCTCAGAAAAACTAAAATTAGGCAGCCATAGCTTATGCCTATACTCCTACTCAGGAAGCTTGGATCCAAAATATCAAAGTTAAAGCCAGCCTGGGCAGAAAAGTCCAAGAGACTCCATCCACAACTTTACAGCAAAAAGCCAGACTAGAGGTGTGGCTCAAGTGGTAGAGCACTAGCTAAGCAAGTAAGTAGAAAAAAATGTTAGAACAGAAGTTCAGATCCAGTACTTCCCCACCCCCCAAAAATGATAAAATTACATATAACCTATAATCCCACTGCAGGGCACATATCCAAAAGAAATAAAATCATGTGGCTTAGGGGTAGAGTGCTTGCCTAGCAGGCATGAAACCCTGGGTTCCATTCCTCACTACCACATAAACAGAAAAAGTCAGAAGTGGTAAAGAAACAATGCCCAGGCCCTAAGTTCAAGCCCCAGGACTGCCAAAAAAAATCACTATATTGAAGGGATATCTGCATATGTTTATAATATTCATATCTGCATATGTTTATAGCGTGTTTGTTACTGAATTTTAAATAGTATTCATTGGGAGGAGGTAAAAATGTTGGAAAATAAATGTACTCACTTTTTTATTGGTCGGTCATGGATCTTGAACTCTGGGCCTGGGCACTGTCCTTGAGCTCTTCAGCTTAAGGCTACTGCTCTACTACTTGAGCCACAGTGCCACTTCCTGTTTTCTGGTGGCTAATTGGAGACAAGAGTCTCACAGACTTTCCTGCCCAGGCTGGCTTTGAACCACGATCCTCAGATCTCAGCCTCTTGAGTAGCTAGGATTACAGGCGTGAGCCACCAGTGCCCAGTTCATTATCTTTCTTATATATAACTGTAACCTCTCTGGACATCAACTTTACAATAAAAAATTTTAAAATAATAATAGTATTCACAATATCCAAGATGTGGAATCAACCTAAATATCCAACAAGAGATGACAGCATAGTTGGTCTGGAGGACCTCATGTTAAAAAGCCAGACACAGAAAGATAAACATAGTATGACCCCATTTAAATATAAGCTAAAAGAGGTGAGATCATTGAAGTAAAGACTAGAATAGTAACTACCAGAGACTGGTGAGGGGGGGAGGTAAGGGAGGTCAGTGAGTATAAAGTTATAAATAGAGGTCTGAATGCTAATGTTCTATTGAACAGCAGGATGATGACTGTTATTGTAATGTCTGCTCCAAATGGCCAGATGAGAAATTTTTGGCCACAAAGAAATTATGAAGCCAGGGCTGGGAAGGTGACTCAGTGGTAGAACGCTTGCCTTGCATGCATGAGGCCCTGGGTTCGATTCCTCAGCACCACATAAGCAAAAAAAAAAAGATAAAAAGCCAGAAGTGGTGCTGTGGCTCAAGTGGTAGAGCGCTAGCCTTGAGCTGAAGAGCTGAGGGACAGCGCCCAGGCCCAGAGTTCAGGCCCCACAACCGGACCCCCCCAAAAAAAATTACTTGAGTGAAAGTTGAGACTTACGCTTTTCTGAACTTTACTTTCTATAGTAAAGATGTGTCATACTTTTTGCATTGCCACCAGCAATATCAGTTTGGATTAACAAAACTCACAGGGCAGAGGTTTCAACTAAGCACTGAAATTATTTAGCTCTGACAAAGGACACAGCAAACACAATGTTCCTTCATATCAGAAGGGCTCACAACCATGCGGACACAGTTCTAAAGCCCTAGACACAGTACACTATATAAGGCTGATGTACAAATAGATCCCTTCAGCATAGGGAAGCCAGGTCTGGCCTATACCTATTGTGTTGTCCCTAAATCAGACATTACTACTAGAAAATGTCAAAAGTAATTGTAGGTAGGCCTGGTGCCAGTGACTCACACCTGTAATCCTAACTACTCAGGAGGCTGAGATCTGAGGATTGCAGATCAGAGCCAACCCAGGCAAGGAAGTCCATGAGACTCATCCTAATTAACCCAGAAAGCCCAAAAAGCCCAAAGTGGACTTATGTCTCAAGTGGTAGAGCATCAGCCTTGAGCAAAACCCTGAGCCATCAGGGATGGCATTCAGGCACTGAGTTCAAACCCTAGAATGGGCACACACACACACACAAAAAAAACACCAAAACAGTTATTTTAGTCCCATAATTCAATATGACTAAGACTGAATAAGCACAGTGAAAGAGAGGGAAGGTCTGCACAGTGATCGGGAGGTTGATGGCATAGGAGTTAGGAGCTGAAATACACTCTGCAGTGGGTAACTGGAGACAAATCATACCAGTAGAAGCTAAATGACAGATGTATTCTTTCAATAATAATTAGAATGGTTGCCAGAGGCTTACCCTTGTAATCCTGGCTACTCAGGCTGAGATCTAAGTATGTAGTTCATAGCCAGCCCAGGTGGAAAGCTCTATGAGACTCTTATCTCCAACTAACAAGCAAAAGGCTGGAGGTAAAGTTGTAGTTCAGATGGTAGAGCACCAGCTGTGCTTGAAAAAAGCTAAGGGACAGCTGGGTGTCAGTTGCTCATGCCTGTAATCCTAGCTACTCAGGGGACTGAGAACTGAGGATCACAGTTTAAAGCCAGCCCAGGTAGGAAAGTCTGTGAGACGTATCTCCAATAAGCTACTCAGAAAAAGCCAGAAGTAGTGCTGTGGCACAAGTAGTAGAGTGCTAGCATTGAGTACAAAAAGGCTCAGGGACAATGCCTATGCCCTGACTTCAAGCCACAGGAATA